GGGTCTCGACTCAATCAATGTATGTATCTCCATTCATTATTATTCATTAGCGTTCTTATTTTTTACATGAAATATTTCATTGTTGCCTTTTTTCTCGCAGAACAGAACCTTCGAAGACTCGATATGAAGACTGATGCAGATACATTATGTATTATATAGTGTGTAGATATGTATATGTTTTTATGCTATACCTACTAATGAATTCTTCGTAAATATATTTTTTCACATAATCACATTTATTATCTATTGGGTATGACATTGTTCTCCGTCAACCATTATTATTTTCCTAGGTATCAATAAAATTGAGACGGAATCACAAGGTGGTCATGGGTCATTAGGATCATTTACCCCAAGTAAAAAGCATAGAATCAATAGGTAGCTATTTTCGAGAAACGCTAATTTTTTAAAAACAGTCCCAACAATTTCAGAAATTGAGCTGATTTCAAAATGTTAGCGCATTTTGAAGTCTCTGATTGATACTCTACAAACTCTAAGGAGGGAGGTTGAAAAAAAAAGTAATTTTGTAAAGATACGGCACTTTGAAAATGGGGGTGACGGCAGTTTTTACCAAAATTGGAAATAATCACCATACTTTGATCGCTCGTGAAAACTTTATTACAGCTCCGATTCCAGTTTTTATTCCGTGAGTCGACAGGAAATTGTGTCTTCTTTAATTTAATATACTGTGTTTTTTCCCGTAGGATTGACCGTTGTCGAGTTATAGGTGAAAAACTTAAACAAGTCCGAATATTTCGAGGTTTTTTGGCCGCCAAAAATTTTCCACAACCTCCTCGAGGTCGAAAACTTGGATTTGGCATCACTAAACATGTACAAACAACATACTAAAATTCCATTAACTTCTGAATTTTTCATCGCTTAAACTACCTGCCGACTGGACTAACGCCTCAATGTTGATGTGTATAATAAAAGCGTATGGAACCACGATAGCCGCGGGTATTGCGGGGAGAATAGGGGTACGATTGCGGCGAAACGCGATCGTCCGTGGTACCTGCATTGCATTATGATTTTCTCAATATCTTCCTTATTTATGCTTCGATTTTCAAAATCGAAGAACCATTCGCATCTTGAAACATAGGCGCATCGACATTATTCGAAGTATTTTTTCGATAAACGTTGTAGTTACTGAGATAATGCGAGGTATATGAAAAACAATTTAACGAGAATTTACAAGTTTTGAGTTATAGGCGTTTGAAATATGATTCTCTCATATATCGTAATGTAATTAGTAAATTTCAAAATTTTCTATAATTTGTTTTACTTGTCACACGAAATCAAGATTCAACAGGGTGGAAGTTCTGAAACCCATAAATATTTTCCACGAATAAAAAAAAAATCCATATTTTTTTATTAATTACCCCCTACCCCCCAAACGCACAGGACGATTTTTTGACGACAAGTGGATCCATGATCTGGAGATGTTAGGTAACAATTCTAACCATGTCACAGCTTTTTACCTCCGATTTCCCACGGGGTGAACGATAGGATTCGATTGGCACTCTACTATCAGGGGAGATTGCGATATGCGATCGACGCGTGGGAGAACGAAGAGTTTGTGCAAATTTAGAGAAAAATCCAATGATCTAATAATAGAAAACTCTTAGATAGTGCCAAAAGGCAGAAGAATTGACGGCGGCATAACAGTGAGACGCAAGGCGCAACAAAATCAGCAAAATCTATTTATACAAGTTTCCCTTCAAGAAATCTCATAGCTGCTAATTGAAATATTTTAACCACGAAATGTTGAATCTGATGAATTGTGAAAAGTTTCCCAGATAGCACAGAATATTCCATGACTATTCTGACAACGTTCAAATGAACTTATTTTAAAATATTCTGATAGGAATTTTTCAGGATGATTATAGAATATTTTCATCGTGCAACAAATGTTCTATGTACATTTAATTTGGCATATACCCAGAATTTTAATTTGGAATATTCTGAGAATATACAGACTATCGTATCAAAATATGATATTGATGTAATTCTTGTTATCGATGAGATTTGAAGTAGGCGTGTAAAGATTCAATCACAAGAGAGTATAGGTTTGTATTTCCACTGGAACAGGCTTTCTTTGCCATTTCTTTCCATTTCCTATAATATACCAGGAGTGTTCTCAGAATATTCGAAACATTTCATACCGAATGTTGATAGAACGTCCCTATATAGAATATATTTTGTTTTATATTGTGAGAATTCTGAGAATATTCAAATGTTCTCGGAAAATATCCGACACCGAGATAAATCCAGTTATACAAGTCTCTATTCTAAAACATCCTGCCATGCAAAGGAAACATTTTGACGACGAAATGTCATCTGCTGAAAGTCAACGTTTTCAACATGAAAACAAGATTATAGTTGAAAGATGGAATTTAAAAAAGCTAGGTAATCATTTGAATCAGTATGAAGTATCATTTTAGTTCCATTCCATCTTCATTTACTATCTTTGTCATACTCGTTTATCACAATGAGTCATCTCTCACTAACTTATGAACACTTGTTCCATCAGAATCGTTAGTTGTCTACGGATACCTAATATGTAAGGACATATAAGCCGCAGCAGCTCGTGAAAATTTTAGGGACATACCTATTTGTTCATATAGGATTTTTTGAGGAAATACAGGAAGTTGAACTGCATCAGGGCATAATAGTATTCTCACGATAAATCGGCAATGTTTCGAAAATTCTTTCAATTTGGATACAATTTTGTTTTTTCTGTGACGGGAAAAAAGTTTGGCATTTCATCTCTGTTGGCAGGTTATAAAATGTCACTTTTCATAAATTACTTTTTTCCCGTGGGAAAAAAGTGAGTACCTACTTTTTTCCCGGATATATATCTGTGCTATAGTTCCGAAAAATGAGTCAATAATACCGTCTCCGAGACAGAACTGCAAGCTGCAAGTCCTTTTATCTTCCATTCGACTTCGCGGTTTCGTATATTACTAAACAACTACTGAATTCGCAATTTTTCAAAATCAAATCACAGAATTGAACTGACAGAAGTGACATCAGATATTTGATTACTTCAAAAGAATGATAAAGATGCCTATAAAACGCAGGTGTCCCTACTGTTAAAAACTTGAAATTTTATGTCGATAATTTTCAGATTTCGAAATAATGTAATATCTTCTCAATATTGATCCGTCCTTCCTTCTGTCACAGAAAAAAATAGTGTATTATACACGGGAAAAATATTAGATTTCAGCTCACGGTTTTTTGTCTCCCTCCGCTACGGGGACAACACAACCTGGAGCTAAAATCTACTACTTTTTTCCCTTGTATAATAAATAACTAATTTTTGATTCACCTCACTTTTCACTATAGTGGCAAAAGCTTGGATTCACATCACAGTTATATCGGTGATATTGTATTGCGTATACAGTATATCCAAGATGAGTATGTCGTCGTATCCTCATCTTGGACACAGTATACTTATTCGATTCGTATAATTTTATTTGCTGCTTCAAAATTCACAAGAATTCTAGCCAACAATTTCTCGATAGCATGCATATACATTCATTTATTTTGATTCAACATGGGTGCATTGCTGAAAATAGTGAATTTTTCTATGGTTCAGCATTGAAACGTATATATAGTATATTTCTGCTTCTTGAGAATTGAAGGTTTCACAACAAATATGTTTCGAGTATTCGATAGATCTTATGTGAATTCCTGAATGAGGAGAGAATTCAACCCGATTGCTCGGACTCCAGGAAATTTAGATTTTTCTATCATTGTATCATTTGTAGTTATAACCAAACCATCAAACCTACACCTATAGTTATATTTTTGCATGCAAATAGAAATGCGAAACGGATATAGATGACGATACAAAAAATGCGTAAACGGTCAAAATATGATTGAAGTGTTGCCAAACACTCGAAATTTTCACGCGGATTCCAGGAAAACCCATGGAAAATGAATATTCAGGTTGTCCCGTAAAGACCACGTCAAACCTAGGGAGAATGTAGATCACAGGACAACCCACCTGGCATATGACAAAATACCCATTATAGAAGTTTTACCGTTTACGAGTTTTAATTTTGAAAATATCCACTACCAAAGTTTTCAATGAAAATATTTCTCACAGCCACCCTGATGAGAATGTTTTTGACGAATTTCTTAATGTATATACGTTAGAAATCATTCTTCAGCAATGTTTACTGAGAAAATCAACCAAAAAGGTGTAATATTGTATCAACCGTAAACAGACTATACTATGAAAGGGGCAAAAATTCAATATTTTCAACAACAACAAAAAATATCTCGAGAACGGTAAGACTTTTATTATGGGAATTTTGTCATGGCAGGTGGGTTATCTATCATTTGATCTACATTCTCCGTTGGTTTGACGTGGTCATTACGAGGCACCCTGTAAATAAGCCAAAAATAGTTATTTATGCAACAAGTGCAAAAAGTGAGTTGCATACAACATTTTTTCTACGTTCATGCAAAAAGCAAAAAATGATTTATTGAGGTGCGGCACTAGGTACAATTCTGTTAATTGTCAGAATTAATTTTTGACTGACGTTTCTATAACCACAGTTGCATTATAGAAAATGTTTGTCATGATGACCGCACGTTGAAGTAGAATGACAGATGAGTGCAATAAAAACTTTATTGCACTAAGTGCAATAAAGAACTTCTTTTTCCACTAAATATATAGTTCAATGAAGTTCTGTTTTTTGCATGAATGTAGAAAAACATTATTATGATGATGAAATTTTTAATGTCAAATGGGTTTTGACAATAGTTCGACAGTTTCATAACTCCGGAGAGAAAATTTGATATGTAATGGTCGAGTTATCCTAGTGACGGTGCTAACTTCATATTGAGTTAGTACAGCCACCCCATATGAAAAAAACTAAGAACGTGACAATTTTTTTCATTCACGACAATCATTCGACAATAAATTATTACTGTGATAGGTATCATCGATTTTCTAGCTCCATGATCCCAAGGACACCAATCAACTCGAAAATTCACACCTCTTTACCGACTACAAACCGCCACACCGACCGTTGGGGCAGCCCGACCCTACCGCCGCTACCAAAGGGCTCTTCCTCGGTGTGATTTGGCACTCTAGACGACGAGGTCGATCTCTTAGGGCTGGGGACGTCCCACCGACAAAGTTTTGATACGTGTGCGGCGATGCGTGCGGAACAGAAGGGCTGGATAGCATAAACACACCGGGCGACAGGCCCTTATTAATCATAACGCGGCTGGAGAGGCCCTGAATAGAGTCGTTCTTCTTGCGGAGGCTCGAATAAGGGTGCGTACGCGAGAGTCGCTGACGTAGAGAAGATTTCTTCCACGATGTTTCTTCGTCGAAGAGCAGACAGCACGACGGTCCATAGACGTCCAATTTTAGTACGGCTCCATTTTCTTGAACTTAAATAGCTTCGTACAAGAATTTTTCATTTGAATTGAGCGATTTACACTTGACTTGAATCAATTGGCATGCTAGCTTCATTTATGGAAATCTGTTGATACGAATATGCCCAACATGAACTGTATATTTCTTTATTCAAGAAAACCGCGACTGCTCGTCTGAAATGCCTGCAGTGACATATACAGCATATAGCAGTGGGGGACAACTATGAACACTTGCGCTCATTCGAGTCATCGACTGTTCAGTCAGTGCAAGGCACCGATGCTTCTCGATATTGAAGTGTCCAAGAACCAAGCGTGCTGTGTGCTGACTTTCATAAAGTCTCGTCTCGTCTCGCCGATGAAATATGAAGTCTTGTCCCGAGTCTCGTCTCGCAGCCTCGAGTCTCGTCTTGTCTCGCGTCTCGTACGAGAGTCTCGCAAATGTATCGCAATTTCGTCATGCATAATCTTGTTCCAGTCTAGTACGGGATATTTACCTTCACCTACTTTTTACCTATAATGTAGAAATAGAAAGAGAAAATTACAACAAAAATAACATTATTTATTGAAAAGTAAGTACCTAATATACATACTAAAAGGCGATAGGCGATGCAACCGTGGCGTCGGCGGTCCGTCAAGACAAAGTTATTCTTTATCTTAGACTATTTAGCACAGAATGACTCATTTATAGATTTTCAGGTAGTCATTATTCAATTTGCGATCTGTCGTTATTGCAGAATTGCCTTTATACTCCGCAGCCGTAAGAGAGAGAATAGTCCGTCTTCGTTTCACGCATTACATCGTTTTACAACAATCATGGATTGTGTTTTTAAAGTATTTATGAATGAAATGTTTTGTCTATCTGTGCTAAGCTGTCTGAATTATTTATAAATATGTTGTATTATGAATGAAATTCTTAAGTCTGCAGTCGACACGCAGAAATATTTACCTGCGAGACTCTCGCACGAGACACGAGAAGTCTTGCACGAGACTCGAGACGAGACCAATAAAAGTCTTGTATCGTCTTGTCGGAGTCTCGTCTCGAGTCTTGTCTCGAAAACGAGACGAGACCATGCGAGACTCTCGAAAACGAGACTCTCGCGGGCACCACTGTTATGTACATGTTTTCATTTTTGTTATGTCTCTGAACATTACAGGATATCCCTTTTCGTGGGAACCACAACATAAAAAAATATATTTAGTGAAGCCTTCTGTTTACCAACTATAAGAGTTTCTTTAAGACCATCAATACTCTAATAGTAAGTTGATTTTTAATTTTCTTCGAAATGATAATCATTTGATACGTAAAAATAAGTATCTTTTGGAATAATATTCACTTATCACTTCGAGACATCATCTATTTCTAACAAGCTCAAAATTTATTGTTTCGAGAACAAGCTTGTTGAACTATGATGGGAGATTACCTAAACAAAAAATCAAGTTTCTTGTTTCAAATTAATTGATTCTTACTCGACGAATACTTACTGTGATAATAAAGATAATATATTCGTTCGAATCAAGATCTCCTTCAATGAATGAGTCAAGAAAGTTCTGTGGAAAAATCAAACAAATATTTGGTTGGACCATTCCAAGAGCGCCATATGGTTGGATCTAGCTGTTCTGCATTGAATCAAGAAATCAATTTTATCTATGTAGATCGATAGATAACGTTTTTTTGACTACTCATACATACCGGTAATTTTTGTAGCAAATCAAAGTTTTGATACGTGTGCGGCGATGCGTGCGGAACAGAAGGGCTGGATGGCATAAACACACCGGGCGACAGGCCCTTATTAATCATAACGCGGCTGGAGAGGCCCTGAATAGAGTCGTTCTTCTTGCGGAGGCTAGAATAAGGGTGCGTACGCGAGATTCGCTGACGTAGAGAAGATTTTTTCCACGATGTTTCCTCGTTGAAAACCAGGCAGCTAGAAAATGGACGTCCAAAGGACATTCGCTTCGGATATTCGGACGATCCAAAGACGTAAAATTTTAGTGCAGCGGACATTTTCAGGACGTTTATACACAGTTGAAAAGGATTTCCCTAATCAAACAAATCCATTTTCTTGAAATTAAATAGCTTCTTACACGAATTTTTCATTTGAATTGAGCGATTTACACTTGACGCAAATCAATAGGCATGCTCGCTCCACTTATGAATATCTATTGATACAGAGAAAATGATAGACAATACGACTTTCGCCACCGAAGATCTACTGGAGATCTACTTGCCTACGTCACCCATTTTAGCAAGCTTCTTTAGAAAAACACGGGGAATCTCTAGCTGTCGCGCTGGACATATCGAAAGCATTCGGCCGTGTCTGGCACGAAGTACTCTTCCACAAACTACCATCATACGGCTTACCACCTCAGCTATGCCATCTCTTATAGAGTTTTCTTTCAGGCAGATCGCTTCACGTGGTGGTGGACGGTGTATCGTCTGATACCATTGACAACAATTCCGGCGTTCCACAAGGATCAATTTTGGCACCAACATTATTCCTTCTTTATATCAATGATCTGTTGGGAGTAACAACTTGCCCCATCCACAGCTTTGCAGATGATAGTACCCTCCATGCGTTCTCGTCCAGAATTCCCATTTCTTTCCAGGAAACTAAGAACTCACGGCGCAGGCAGGTCAATGCTGTCAATGAAGACCTAGCTGAAATCACAGCCTGGGGAACCAACAACCTAGTTGAATTCAACGCCACCAAAACTCAAGCCTGTATTTTCTCTAGAAAGGCGGAACTCAGTATGCCCTGGTATGCCCGACATTGTAATGTCTGGCACCATCATCCCCACCAAGCCCACCATATCTATGCTCGGTATTTCCATCAGCAACACTCTTTCATGGGATAACAATAACTCGGATTCTTGTTCCGGGCGAAAGGCTACTTTACACCTCAATAGCTTCTCATGATCTACAAAGCGCAGATCTGGAATTCATTGCCTGAGGAAGTATTCCCAACAACATATAATCTCCAGAAGTTCAGAAAAAAAATCCAATACCTACCTCCTGTCCCTATCCTCCCTAGGAACGCACGATGTTCTTTGAACATTAAAGGGATTTCCTTTCGTGCGCTCCAGGCGATAAAAAAAACTTGCTCAAACGAAGAGTACATTTCTTTATTCAAGAGAACCGCGACTGCTTGTCTGAAATGCCTACAGTGACGTATACAGCATACAGCAGTGGAGGACAACTATGAACGCTTGCGCTCATTCGACTCATCGACTGTTCAGTTGAGTCGCGTCGTCATTACAAAACAGTGTCCAAGAACCAAGCATTCTGTGTGCTGAGTCATGGATAATAAGATAATAATGATATACATTTTTACAGCAATGCGGCATCTCACATTTGAGGACAATCTGAGAAGGTAAGTTAAATACGTACACTGTAGAAAATTCATTTGAGTGGCTGCATATGTGGTTGTGAGTGAATTTACTGATTGAAATTTTTGAGTGAATTCTCAACTCAAACTAGATATTTCATCAAGTTTTCCTATCAATGAGAATGTTTACAACACATTTGATTGAGTCGGCTCATGAATTACCTTTTTACACAGTCAAGTTGGGTAATATTTCAACTCAATCGGGCGTGGACAGTAATTGCCACATTATTGCGTGGACCTAGAGTGAAATATCACTAATTTTTTTCTCAGTGTATAGGTTTTAATTTCCTACATGAAAGAACTCTGAACTGTATATCTTCGTAACATAACTCTACTGAGGTATTTTCCCTTCTTATTTCATCGAAAACCTGCTAAGAATCAATCATATATGTATAATACATATACAGGATATTCAAAATTTCAATCAGGAAAATTTGGCAGGCGATAGAAATTGTATGAAAATTAAGAAAAAAACATGTTAGTAAACTTTTATGTTTTGAAGCATTGTTTTCGAGATGGGTACAAGGTATTGAAGTTTTCTGAAGAAAAAAAGAGGCTTTCAATCACAGCTCAAGATCTCCTTCGCTAATTTTTGTTAAACTTCCCTGGTTTGTTAGTGATAAGAAATTGGTGTTTAATTCACCCAGAAGGGGCGTACCTATTCATATTTATCATTGTAATTCTCACCTGTCCAATATTAGATCCAGTGCCGGATTAAGCCAGCGCGGGGCCTGTAGCAAACTCGATCAAGGGGCCCTTGGTTTGCTTTAGGCTATCAAGTTTAGAGTATTAAATAAAATAAAATGAAACTATTACAAGTAAACTTCTCTCGATATACCTATATGGGCTTTAGAGATCCCCTAACACTTTCAATATCGACTTCTTCAAGCCAATCATGCTCTATATTTATCAAAGTGAGATTGCTCATTTTTAATACGTTTTAATAACTAAAAAAAAAACGTTCGCCGCTACAGTTAGCGATCATGAGGTACACGTAAATTCGCAAGGCAATTTCTATGTTTGGAAAACATGATTCTAAAGAATTATTCTATGAAATTTTATAAAATTGTAGTTCCAGAGGCTCCTGTTTGGTGGTGTATGACAGTACCCAAATTCGTTTTTAGCAGCTCATCGATCTACACTAATTCGTCGCCTAGGCTGGTTTCCAAATCATCTGTGTGAGCACTGATCATTATTCAGGATTTTACCAAAATCTCTTTCGCTGTCGAAATACTCCAATAACACTAGCAATTTTATGAAATACGTTCAAACATTTAGTTGAAGCAGACAGTACGTTATCAATAATGGAAATAAACACCTGAACTTCAAAACGTTGTCCAAGTGTTTGATTTTCAACAAAGTCTCGAGTGTAGTAGAGAGCCGCTGAAATAGCCTTACTTTGTATATCGCTTGATTCGCCCCTTTGTTTATTGCTGATAGT